GCCAGAGCTCGTTGCAGTACGCCAAGAAAGCCGCCATGACGTTGGCCAATCTAAAATGTAAATATTTCAATGAGTCTAAAAATGAGTGCCTAAAAATGGAGAAGAATATTTACTAACGAACATACAACATGCAAAACCATACATTAAAACATAAAAACAATAATCAATCACCATAAACCAAAGAAAGTATTAATAAATTATTACCTACATGTGTGCGTGGCGAGGAATGGTAACATTTTAATTGGGAATTTAGTTGGTTAGAGTAAAATGGGAGGAAAACCAGCATAAACGCTACAACTGAGAAAAAACTAAGAGCTGCAGTCCACATTCCAACCAAAAACAAAAAGTAGTTTATTAATTTCAGTGAAGAATATTAATTAGTATGTACAAGAAAAAAAGGGGAGAAGAAATAAGAGCTCGCTGCTGACGCATCTACCATTCCACTACGAGGTTTTAACTTGGAAACTTAAAAAGGATTTGTTTGTTGGTTTGTTTTGTGTGTAGATTAGAAACTAAACGAAATTCACAAGTGTTTTCCATACAGTTGGTTAGTATCCTTTATGTGTACGAGTTGCCTTACCAGGGAATAGGTCGAGTCACACATCAGCACCAGCACATCGATGGGGCTGGTATGATTTGCGACGCAAATGCCGGACAATGGGCGATTCTCCTCATTGTGGTATGTTATGACAGCTGAAATCGCACTGGACAGGACCCCAAAGCAGGTGCCCAGTACTAAATTCACGATGTCGCGCTTTGTTTGCCCGTCCTTCAGATAGCCCACAGCGGCCGTACACACCGTAAGCCATACCACCTAAGATGGCATAAAAGTATTGAGGTCATAATATGGTAATATATCGAGACGGGGTCATTTTTTCATTCAATTTAAATTGTGTCTGCTGCTATGTAGGGGATATACACTCCTAAAATAAAAAGACCAACGATGTTTCCTTCCACCAAGTAGAATCATTGCCAATTAGACATCAGTTCAGTGGAATTCAATCAAGCAAAATCACCTAATAACACGACAGAAGAATGAACACCCCACTGTGATCGTACACAGCATAGAAATCATTAACTAAAATGGTGTTAATAAATTAAATATATATTCGCTCCTCTTACCTGATGCTTAGCTTTGCTACGAACTAAACGCTGTGGTAAACAAAATTTAAAGCTTAATAGAATGCAGAACTACGCGAGGACAATGACAAAAGCCAGGAAACAACGAATACAGAAACATAGAATAAATACTACACATAAAACTGAACTTATTCTAATTAAATTCATGCATGAATTCTCGAATCATTTGTCCGTCACTTCGCCCAGACGCATATTAGTTAGGTCTTAAATAGTCACCAGCTATAATTCATGATGGAATTATCGTAAGATAAGAGTTTTCGTCAGCCCGAGGAGGGGGCAATCAATACTGGTACATTCCAGGCCTGTATTTACTACCGCTAAATGATTATTGTTATGAGTATGTGAGAGAGAGGGGGAGAATTCTACGTTCTGCGTTCGATAGGAGAACGATAGGAGAATTCGCGTATTCCCAGGGGACGGTAGGACAGTTTTGTCTGCTGAGTATGGGTATTAAGAGTTGAGAATTGAGAGTTTTGAGTGCTTTGTTACGAGAGAAGTGAATGTACCATTGTAGAGATGGACAAGAGTTTCGGGGGGTTACATGCATGAATTATACAATTAAAATCAATCCATTTTTATATGTAGCAGTAAATTAAAATAAACTTCTTTCTCACCAAAGAAAAGGTACGGTCTGTCGATAATATTGCCACATCCAATGGAGAGGTATGATTTGCTACACAAAACCCGGATCTGGTGGGCCTGTATTGTTTATTATGAAACTTAATAAGGGATGACAGAGAACTTGCTATAAGACGGAACGTAATTTTAAACGATAAGTCCGCTAAAAGGAGCCGCAAAAATCGATTGGGTATTAAAGCCACAATAGAGTTTGTTAAAACTGCAAATAAAACCTAGGAATCAAATATTTGCATTAGAGAAAATGTTAAATCATAAATAACAGGCACATAAACACAAATAAACAAAATGTCAAAATATCAATATCAAACACAAGTTCTTAAAACGTCTAAACGCCAAAGGAATTACAATATATACTCTTAAACAATAAATACTCATACTCTACGCAAAGTAAGTTGAGAAAACAAAGCCATTAAATATGCTACAAATAAATTCTTGGCACAAATGATAAGCTTTTTTTGTTGTACACAATTAAACTAATTTTTAAGAGACATACAAAGTGGTTGCGCAAAAACATTTCATTACAAGATTAAAGTTTGATTAAAAGGCCTGACGACCGCCAACCCATTGCCATGGATTCCCTCCCTTTCATTTCTCCTTCTGGGAGTCTACAGCTGCCGCCCACCGCTGGACTAAAGCATTCAGACTGTACCAAGCCGAGGCAAAAGGTTCTGACAATCTTGCCACATCCCAGAAGGATGAAATCTAAGCAAATTCAATATTCTGATTCCACATAGAGAACGAATTTAATATCATTTCCTCATGCCCAATGAACTTCTAGCTCCTTTCAGGGGAAAAAATGTCTGTGGCCATATTTTTCGGGTTGCCAAAAGACGCCGGCTAACTAAGCTAACTATGAAACGTTATCTTCAAGATAAAATATGTCGCCTTTGTGTCACGGGGAGAGCACACGGTAAGGTCCACTTAAATGGTAACTGCTATAAATGCCCGCTTGTTGCGTTGATTCCCTTGCCTCTCTACCAACAGTGGATGTTTGGAAAATCATCTCGGGCAAGGCAAAGGAATGCCAGCAACTTTGCAAGTATTTGTTGTACAACAAACAGATGGTTAACAATTTATACTTACACCAACAAAGCAAACCAATACGCGCAATGGCATCAGGAATACATATCGGATAAAGAAGCCAACCATCCAAATGAGCGTTATCTTCCAGGATATGAATTCGTGGTGCCTGTTGGTGCGTGTCAGCATGTTCCAGCTCTTCAGCTCCTCCGCCTCGAAGCGGGATGTGACATCATCTTCAATAATGGACTCCACTCCCGACTTCAAGTAGTCCAAGCATTTTTCAAAGTCAAAGACAATTTCCTCCTAAAGTAATACAAAAATTAAGGTAAATACTTGTCGTCCGAACGGTGATGGATGAGCTTTCGTACCTTTTTCGAGGACGCTGGCTTCTCTGGGGCAGGCTCTTGTGGCTGTGGAAGCAGTACTGCATCTCTGGTAATTAACGTTGTTCCATTTGTACTTTCCTTGGAATCGGCATTATCGACGAACTCATCTGAATGCTTATCGTCAGTCTTAAGATTGTTTTGTTTATGTTCTTTGGATGCTGTCTCTATGCTTACACGACCATACTGAAAGTTAAATAACATCAAATACAAATCAATACATTAGTAATACGTGTGTCTGCTCATTGAACAGTTAACAGTGTTAACAGTTATGAAAGCACAAGGAAACAGTTTGATAAAAATTGTTCTTCCGACTGGCCGACCGATCGACCGACCATAAAGATAAGCCCGCAGCAACTCTTATATGAACATATGGGTGTTTGGGTGGTTGTGTGGGCCTGTCCAGTTTCAAAATTCGGCTGAACACAGCCGGAACACTTTGAAATTGCAATAAAACAACACCTTTAAGCATAGGTATGTTTGCATGTGCGGGTGCGTTCCGTTCCGTTCGAATGTGCGTATCAATGTATGCATGTACTTTAGGCTGACTATATTTATGGACTTTGGAATAGCTAACTATCAGTTGGCCATGACTGGGTTAATCAACTGAAGGTATGAGAACGTAATGAATGTCTGTTAATGTGTCAATGTGTGGGCGGCTGGCCCGAACACGGCAAATTTACCTCAAATATCCTTAAAAGAAGATTCACATATGCCCTCCGGACGCCGATGGATTTGTTGATTGCCGATATGATTATCAGAAATGATATGAATCCAGCAAACGGTATCCAGAATATGTTTAGTATTTCGAAGATCATTTTACATTTGCTTGACTTTACATTAGTTTATTAGAAGAAGAAATTTAAAATTAAATATTAGAATGTCTGTGAACCCTTGCCTTCAGTGTGACCGCGGAATTCTCGATCAAATACACAGACAGCCCCCCGGAAATATACCAAAAAATACACTTGCATTTTAAAAATATACTGTAAATATACCGTGAATCTTAAATAAATTTCCTCGATATTGATGTTCTATATGATGTTACTAGCTAGTTGGGAGCTAAAACTCAAAAACTATAATTTTATCCGATTTATTAATATATTTTCCACAAGATTGGCTGGTTTTCACGACTCCTTTTTTTTAGAATGCTTACAAGTTCAGTTTAAAACTGTCAGTCAACCAAAAAGTGCACACAACGTTACGCGAGTGGGAATGGAATGTTGCGATATTTGACAACTTGTTGCTTGTCAACCAGTATACCTTTGTGAAACCTAGTTCCATTAATTCATATTAAAATTCCGTTTTCCAAGCTGCTTCTAAACATAAATAAAGACTTTATCTTAAGCTGACATGTTTTTAACCTTTATTGTATTGTATATGTATATTATGTATATGGCCATTACACTGCACTTGAAGAGTGTACACACTTAAGTTTAGTTGCAAGTTCCCAATTAAGTTATAATCTAGATTGAAAACTTGGGATAGCATCAGACAAGCAAGTTAGTGTTACCAGCTTATGAGCTGAGGCACTATTTGTCACGCACAGCTGATTGTACTGATCTACAATTAGCGCAAATCGATTTTTAACAACACCAAATAAAGCCAAATTATAAGTTAAAATTATACTTCTGCAACTCCGCTGCTACCAGCTCGATTACAAAGCCAAACTAATTTATTTTAAATTTCATTTTCATTTAATTAAATTTTCACATATGCATGATGCGGTCACTTTATTCTAGGATATCGATAGATAAAATGTGATTATCGAATAATAGTGTTGACAAAGCGTGCTGGATGGTGTTCCTGAAGTGTGTTTGTTTTATGTTGGCAGTTCCATTGAATTATTATTATTACTATTATTTATTGCAACGAAGTTTAATTTTAACCATTTAATGTTATGCATTTGCCTATAATGACGGAGTGATAGATATATGGATGAACATATATGTGCGCATACATGATTGAAAATAATTTTAATTAGTTACATTTGTATACAATAAGTGTTCTTTTTATGTTAACGACGATGTCTACAAGCAATACAAACAACATAATCGAGAAAGAAATCGACGATGAGGATATGCTCTCGCCCATTAAGTCGTCCAACAATCTGGTTGTGCGCGTGAATCAAGATACAGATGATAATTTGCAGGCCCTGTTCGATAGCGTGTTGAATCCCGGAGATGCAAAACGCCCCTTACAGCTCCCCTTTCGCATGCGGAAGCTTCCCAATTCCTTTTTCACGCCACCAGCGCCCTCGCACTCGCGAGCAAACAGTGCGGACTCCACATACGATGCAGGCTCCCAATCCAATATTAACAAAAGTGCGCAGCCCGTGGACGTGCAGCAGCCAGCCATCTCACAGATCCAGCCATCACAACAAAGCCGCCTGGCGATACATCACTTTCGCGCTCGCAGCAGCCCAGCCTCATTGATGCAGAACTACAACGTGCGCTCCAGGAGCGAGGCCAATCCGGGCGCAAGCAGCCAAGGTCCATCGTATCCCGAGAGCAGTGCCGAGTTCCCGAACAGTGCTGCCAACACTATTGAGCTAGATGGCATGAGCACTTGCATGGAGGGCCAGGATATGCAAACGGTGCATAAAAAGCAGCGATCGTACGACGTGGTAAGCCCCATTCAGTTGCAAAGTCAACTGGGAGCATTGCCACCAGGTTGGGAGCAGGCAAAAACTAATGATGGCCAGATTTATTACTTGAAGTAAGTAATCACAAATACACATTAGTATGTGTATGTATGCATGTATGTATGTGTATGTATCCAAGAGACTTTGTATCTACGGGATACATGCCCATATGTAGTTGTATATTATTTGTACTTAAAATTAACCATTCTTAAATTTAATTGTACAGTTTTTTTAATATTTTTATTTATTTTACATATAATTTTAGTCATACTACAAAATCGACACAATGGGAAGATCCAAGAATCCAATATCGCCAACAGCAGCAACGCCTAATGGCTGAACGAATCAAGCAAAGCGGTAGGTCTTACGTCTTACATATTATGTACAATTGGGGGCTAGAAATGTATTGACGCTCGTTCGATCTCACTAACCCTCATTAAGGAAAGGAAAGGGCAGTGGCAGCTTAGTACAGCACCAAAAATGATTTAACATATGAACTGAAATGAATGAATGAAAGTTTCCATAAGAAATCTTTACACATTACTCTGAATCCTAGAAAAACATTCTGCAGTGGATTCTAAGAGAGTTAGCAGAGAGATATGGTAGAGTCGTCACTTGTCAGAGATGCGCCAGAAAAGTCCCAAATAACAATAGATGGACCTTGGAGCGGGTATTCTTTGGTTCTATCCGATCCGATCGAATTATGTATGTTTTTCCCAATTAACACGCGTACTTATATCTTTATTAAATGGGATTGAACGCCAGGCCAAATCCAAATCCAATTCCAAATCGAATTCCGCTTTTGTTTTGCTTTTAATTTATTTTGGTTTGTAATACATTGTTTTTGTTTAATAGATGTTTTGCAAACAACAAAACAAACTACCACATCGACTATTGCTAACAGCTTGGGTCCACTGCCGGATGGTTGGGAACAGGCAGTTACTGAGTCCGGAGATATATATTTTATAAATCACATTGATCGAACGACTTCATGGATTGATCCCAGAATGCGTAAGTCTTGTTCCACCATAACCACACTAGCCTAAACCATAGGGGGAAATAGAATATGCTCGTCCAAGTCCAAGTGCAAGTGATCTGTTTCGCTATCAGTTATCTATCCCAAGATAACAATTGATATCGTGGATCTTATGTGTCGGGGGGTTCGTTCGTTCTGTCTGTGGACTCCCAAGGCTCTTTTGTGCGGATTTTTGAGACAGTTTGCAAGTGAATAAAAGCTGATTAGGTTGAATAAACAATAAAATACATGCGCATGCCTACACGTACAAGCGTCTATATTAATACCTGTTTCCCCCGCATCTGTTTTGTTTCTTTGCAGAATCTGGACTTACTGTGCTTGACTGCCCAGATAACTTAGTGTCATCCCTACAGGTACGTAACAGCCAGCCACTATAGTGTGTTTATAAATGTGTGTGTGTTTGGTGTCTGTTTTCCAGATTGAAGATAATATATGCACTAATTTGTTCAACGACGCACAGACCATTGTGAATCCGCCGTCTTCCCACAAACCAGACGATTTGGAATGGTATAAAATAAACTAATTCACATGTATACAAACTGTATTAGACCTAAAAGTTTTATATTTTGTATTATTCTAAATTAAATATTTTTCAAATTTTATAGTATTTATTTCTTATACACATTATTAAAGTTACTGTGTGCCTGCCTGCCGTGTGTGATTCAATCAAAATGTACGAATAAAATTAAACGCTCAGCTTTTGCCCTACGTTTACAACAAATATTACTAAGCCATTTCGAATGTCTGGCGTTGGCACGTCTTGCACTGATCTGATCTGATTTTGGTTGAGTTAACCATAGGCGTGGTCACCACCAGCAGATGACTCATTTCGAAGAATGCATCATCCACCCCACCTCTCTTTTGAGGCAGAATTTGTAACACGCCGAATAGTTGGTTGGGAGTCGTGGTGCTTGATGGAGAACGGGCAGGCCATTCAAATGATCCCGTTGAATATAGAAGCCAGTTGTTGGCAATCCACAATTGCAGTTTCTCCTGCATAATTCATTAATTATCAAAACGCTCTACATGTTCGTTATCTATTAAATATTAGTATTTTTATTTTTAACTATAATAATCTTACAATCTTACAAAATTTCTATAAAAGCGTACAACAACAGTAATTCTTTTTTTGCCGATTCTCTTGCGTCAAGTTCATCTCGCGCACAATGGTTGCGAATACTTCATTAACGTTTATCCGATCCTTTGCTGATGCTTCAATAAATGGACAGTCCCACAGCTGTGCCAAGGCATTACCTAAAAAATAAATTCAATTTAATTAAATGAGAAATTAAGGGGATATTAATGCATATGACTATGACAAAGGAGTCTCGCAAATGAAAACAAATAGCCAACAGATGAGGGAGGTAAGATGCAATGTGTAAACATTTGTGGCGTATTTATTTGCTTTTCCAGGAGTCTGCTTAATAGACAACGACTCATTGTACTGTCTCAACGTTCAACTAGTTTATGCAAGCCGCCATTAGTCTGTACGTCTATTTTTAGTAGGCATTGTTTAAGGCTCAAAGGATTATCAAGTTAGATGAATAGGACTGGGGGATTTGAATGGGGTTGCTCTTAATGATTTATGTATTTCAATTTGTAAGCTTACCTTCAGCGGTGGATACCTCTCTTTGGCAATCTAAATCAAATTTATTCGCGACTAGTAGTATGGGTGCTGGCTGACTTCCTTTTACACGAGTGATCACATTTTTCATACTAGAAATATCCTGTGGGGCAAAGCAGAGAACAAAGAGATTAGTGTGAGAAACAAGTCGGTTGCAGCTATAAATAAATACCTGAAATGTTTGATGGTTCGTAAGTGAATACATTACAATAAAGCCATGCCCATTCTTGATATAGAGATCTCTCATGGAGGCAAATTGCTCTGTTCCTGCTGTGTCCAATATTTCCAAAACACAAGGCGAGCTGTCAACCTGTAAATTATAATAATAAATGCATATTAATAAACTGGTGTAACGTTGTCCATTAATTACTATCATGGCGCGCTGGACTCGTACTCAATTTAAATGTAAATTAATTAAAATTGCGCAGATGCAGTGACAAAGTACACACAAAAATGCTTAAAACGCCTTCAAAGGTGGTTTTGGCTGGGAATGGTACGTGCCAATCTGGTACTACGAGTTCTGGATATGTTCTATATCGTCATTGCATACGACGGGGTTCTTCCATCTATTAAGGGTTATTTTTACACCCACCCAATGCCGGACATGTGCTGCTGTCTGTGTAAAATTTCTCCTCCTGCAGCAGCAAAACTTAAGACAATATGTACGAAATATGTTCTTTGTATGTAATATGTACGCGCGTCCGCTATTTTCCTATCATCCGGACAATATTTTAAGATGGGGTAATGCAATGCTGGCTAAAATTTATATTGTATGTTCACTCCATAAATAAATAAATATAAATGTCTGATGGATAATATATTGTGAGTCGAAGACATAAATTGATGTTGAAATTGGCTTTAAACCCTGTCCCCTCGATTCAACACCCACGCCTTCGAGTCTGCATAAATGTGCACATATGCATGTAAATATGTACATACACACCCGTGGGCACGGAGATACATGAATTACATATTATATGTATGTATGTACGATGCTTTTATACATATATGCATACTTGAACATTTAAAAGAACATATGTATAAAACAATAATATGTACATTTATTCTCGTATTAATACATACAAACATATGTATGCATGTGTACATATATATTTGAGCAGACGTACATATGTATGTATATGCATGCCTTTTGTGATTACGCATATGTATGTACATATCATGTGCGTGCGTGTGTGTGAGTGTGTATGTTTCATCTACAAATTGATTATGTCTGCTGCTTTGTATCCATATGAACGTTTACGTACCTCTATTTCCTTGCGATAGAAGTCCTCAATTGTAGGATCATACTTTTCAATGAAGCATCCCGAAACAAATTGAACGGTAAGGGCCGATTTGCCCACTCCGCCAGATCCGAGCACAACAACTTTGAATTCGCGCATATTTAATCGAGTTTTTGTATTAGATGCGAATAATATGAATGCAAATATGTGTTCTGTGCGTGTTTATGCTGTTCACTATTTATGTATATGTTATTTAAATTAAACAGTTTACAAAGCAAGATACTTTTGATGGATTGGCATTTCGTGTTAATGCATGTAATGCATGAATGCGTTGGCGATTTGTCGTTCACTGTTTCATAATCCTTACAATGGATTGTATTTTCCGTTTATCAAACACATATTATATTGTAAAATATAATGAAATGATAATTGATAAATGATGACACTGACACTTATTGAAATGGAACGATGCATATGCAGGGAGGAAATGAAATAATGGTTTTAGAACGAAATTTCTTAGGGCAGTAACAAACGATGGTGTGCCCAGATTGGCGCATGCCCACGATAGTCATGGCTGGTTGGCTTTAATTGAAACAAATTAAAAGGGAGTTTATACTAATTGAATTAAAATATGCTTCATTAAATTGTTTTATTTCATTTTAGTTCTCTTTATTAAAACAAGAACCGAAAATCGTTGAACTTCGGTTTCCAAAACACTCTTTTCATGAACAGCTGTTTAGTCTGTACCATGTTATTTATGAATTATCAAATGCTAGTTTTACTTAAGAAATATCTCATCAAATATTATAAACAAAGCCCAGTTGGGCAAACAGACAAGTGAATGCGGAATATATGGTTGTAGAAATTCGGTACGGAAGAAATATTGATTCCGATTCAGTCGTCATATCACACAGTCATACAATGTCACAGAAAAGTTACCGTTGGTCACATTGTGCTTATTAAATTATGTTCAAAAGGTACTTGTAATTTGCCTAATTATAATTATCCAACAAGGAACCAGCTTGTGTTTAGAGCCTAGTGCGCATAGTATGACCAGGTTACATGAACAAAATAATTTCGTAAAAAAGAGCATGTTCTCTATGCGAGCAAGCTGGGATTTATTCATACTATAATAATATAAAACTTAAAAATGTGGAGTTAATATATTGATTCCACATAATCGCTATTCATTCACAACATAGTCCGACAACTTTTCAGTGTTATACTCGGCTTTCCATATCATTCTTTATACACATTGATATTTAAATACATAATGTTGTATTCGATTAGCGGCAGAATGTGACCAAGTACAAACAGCTCAGTCAGCTGTTTGTTTGCTTAAGCCATAATTCAGTTAAAATTACAGAATCCAAAAAACCTCTTATGAATTAGGCTGCGTTATTTTAAATAAAAACAAAAGTGTAGATTTAATTCTGAAATAAATACCTTCCACCAGTCGTATCAACAACAATTCCTTAGAGATAGCGTAAATATTCTAAATATAGTGCACATCCAATCCCTGGCGAAATATTATATGCTTACATAAGGTAAGATGAGGAGAACATTTTGAGGCGAAAAGTAAAAGGTACAAAACATACATGCATCTTAGAAGCAATTAAAGTGGGACTTAATTAGATTTACTTAATTTGATTAATCCGGTTTAAAATGCATCCATAATATAACGAACATAGGTCACAATTTCTAGTGGTGATTTCAAAACCTGCCGTAAGACCTCTCCTCTATCACTATCTTACTTATAATAGGGTAGTGGAGTGTGGAGGAATTTATGCATTTAGGCAATCCAAATCTAGAATTTCTTTAAATTATATTTACGATTTATATCACAGTGTAGAACATATATATTATTTATTTATCTCTTATATATAATTAATGTTCTTCTTTTACCATCGTTCCGTCAATGTAGTATCGGCAAGACCCTATATGTGCTATGCGATGAATACATGGAAATATCGATGGTTGCGCACCCCCATCCTTTCCTTCTTTCCGGTGTGGCTCGTTGAATCGGTCAGACAAAATGGTAAGTAATCAAAGAAGTTCTTTGAAATCATAATATTAAATGTCAAAATGCAATTACTAAAACAAACGTACTGTCTTTCTTGTCTAGGCTGCGCATAAATCGTTCCGAATTAAGCAGAAATTGGCTAAGAAGCTGAAGCAGAACAGGTCGGTTCCGCAATGGGTCCGCCTACGTACTGGAAACACAATCCGGTAAGTAATGCTAAAACAAATTATTAGCAAAGAGTATTTTAAAGAGTCTATTGTATAATTTTTTTGTGTGACGTGTCGATTTTCTTGGTGGTCTTTGCTTTTTAAGAACTCAATTCGTACCAAGAAACTCCGTTGTGCCCAACGAACGTCACGTTCTGCAGAACTGGGATCATGTAAATGTGTTTCCTATGTGAATAGTTGGTTTTTTATATATTCATCAAGTTGCTGATCATATTAATAACAATTTTACTACGCTGTCACGTGGGTTTTGTGTAAATTGAGTCTGATAACACTTGAGTGGTAGTTTTGCCGCCACGGCTGAAACAAAAACAAAACGTCTAGCTGTGGTTAGTTATACAAAGCGCCCGGAATTATTGGACACCTTGATAGTTGACACACAATATTATACAAAAGTTTTGCAAAATCACGATTATTAATATTCATGTAACTTTTATTTTTTAGGTACAACGCTAAGCGTCGTCACTGGAGGCGCACCAAGTTGAAGCTGTAAGCAGCTGAAGATTGAAGACGCATTTAATCCTGTGGAAATGCTAAATATCTTTTCAAGAATATAAAATAAAGATTCGTTACCGAAGTTCGGATTAAATAAATTGTTTAATTGGTCACACAAATGACTGACTAGAATCTACATTTATGTACTATCTACATATGTATATACTATATCCATATATACTTGATTGTTGCCATTGCAAAAAACTGCTTAATACATGTTTTGGCATGCCTAAAGTTATCTGTCGCTTCTAAGTTTTACCTTAGTTATGGTACAATTTATCTACGTGGGTTATTTTTGGTGGGTTTGCCTGACCGTTTGCTCATTCGGGGTCCAGAAATCCGCTGGTGGTGCAGTCTAAAGTAGACCCATAGTTCATTCACTGCCAGAAGTTCTTTTGTAATTTCATCTCGAGCCGTTGATAAGCTGGTGCATTGGGGCACGGGAATTTCTAAATCGACCAGTAGTTTTTCCCATTGTCTCTGAATAGTCTTCAAAGTGACCACAATTTAGCTTGTATCGATATAACCATTGAGTCGTCTTTCGTCAAGTTATACAGAAAGACCTAAGTCGAACCCTTTGCTATCGCTTTTCTACAAGTTATTAGTTGTGTGTTCTTTGCTATGTTTTTGTCGCTTAACTGTTCCATGTCTGCGACCAATTCCTCTACTTATCCTCATCTTCCACTGTTCACCGATCTCTAACAGAAGAGAGCTTGGATGACTGCTCCTCTCCGCTGCCATTAGTTCAATTTGTTTTGTCACAATGTGCACTACATAGACGAAGTAAAATTCAGTCCCGGGTATTTCAATTATTACAGAGTGTAACACAAACGATTTATTTAGTCTTTGTCAAAAAGAAATCGTTTATTCTGAGGGGACCTCGAACGAGCCGTCATTGATCTCGTCAATAACATCATGGGGATGTTTGCCATCGACAGTGCAGCCAACGCTCTGGGCGGTGCCCAGGACTTCCTTGCATGTTCCTTTCAGTTCACGGGCCATCGACCTGGGCCTCATTGTACGTGCAATGGCCAGGATATCTTCAAAAGCGATGTTGCCACTGTGCTTAACTGGAATGAAAGATACAAAATGAATAAACTACACTTTGGGAAGACGCACAACTATACTATATACTTACTATTCTTTTGCTTCTTGCGATCACGTGGAGGTTCCTTCAGAGCCTTGATGATCAGAGACGCAGCCGATGGAACCACGGAGATGGTTGCCTGTCTGTTCTGAATGGTCAGACACACGGTGATCTTCAGACCCTTCCAGTCGGAGGTAGCCTTGGCAATATCATCTCCTACTTTTTTGGGGGACTGAAGTCATACTGTTGAGACCATTCCGGCAGGTAAACAAATCACTTATGTACTCACCAGACCAAGTGGACCGATTTTAGGGGCCAGGGAAGATGTAGCTCCAACTTCTCCACCCACACATCGCATGTACACTGAAATTTGAAAGAAATACAGCAATTGTAATAGATATTTTTTACATGCACAAATTCACATATATTTATTCAAGTAATTTCGTAAATTTATACACAGGATGCTTAAACGTACCCAATTTAACTTCCGTGGGATCAAATTTGGGAGGCATTGTTGTATCGTGGCTCAAAAGGCTGCTGTAATGTTAAGATTACATTAATATTAGTCGATTTCTTAATAGACATATTTAGCTCTGTACTGTACCGCAAAAAGACACACAGAAAAAGAAAGAAGAAGCATATCGATTTCCGGTTAGTGTGTGTTATTGCCACCTATCGCACAGACTTATCGAAAAAGAAATTGCACAAATCGGGTAGCTTACTATCGAGTGGAACGTGAAAGTGAAACTAATTGCAACACAAATGTAGTCGTTTTGTGTGTAAAATGGCAATTGGAGTTGGAGATATAATATGCTATGAATTTAAATAAATGAATATAATTAGTCAATTGTTAGTCATAAATGCGATTGCTCCGTGGGTAGGGTTACACTAAAAATTAGCGTGTCTGAGCAGTGATGGTCACTCTGAGCTTTGTTTACTGTTTACATGCATACATAGCGTTTCTGCAAACACATACATACATACCGGCCATGTTTTCTTCGCTTTTTTAACAATTTTCAGCCATTGAATAACGTCACTCGTATGTCATTTTCTTATATTCATACATACTTATATGCTTTTTCTGGTATTTAACCATGTATGTACATACGTCTGTGATGTAGAATTCGACCCAAGCTGTCTACATATGTACGATTGGGCGGCAATCTCCGCTTTGTATTGATCAAAGAATTCTGCATCTACCCTTCCACGATTTTCTCGCCATCACGACCTACCCTCACCAAGAAATTCAAGACAGAATCCGCAATGTACATGCATACATATGTATGTACGAACTGCCGGCCGGCAGCCGGCTGTAAAGCCTGTCGACAATGACAATTTCGTATGTTTTGTCCCTCAGACATAACTCCCCTACTCAATCAATTGATTCCAACTTGCGAGAGTAAACTCAATTCAATTCATATTAATCAGATTCCCCAAACACCATACCATATAAATGTAGGGAAAACTATAGCTTATTCTTCCTTAAGATTAAAACTGTAGCATTTGATGTTGACGTTTAGGTAAAAAATTTTATTGGCAAACGTTTATTTTGTTACTTAGTTATTCAAACATGGATGCTTCGAGTTTCTGTTTTATTTATTACGATCTTCAGAACCAGATTTAAGATGTAGAGCCAACTAGCCTATAACAGCATCTTTGAATAAATTTGCTTCAGATGTAAATGCAACAGAAATTAACGGCAACACGTTTTGTTTATTTGTCCAGAGCCGTATTGTTCTTAGTTGCAATAACGCACTCCTCTCCACATGCTTTAAGCACAGTGCACTGTAAAGAAATAAAGCGAAATTAATATTAACAAATGCCATGCCAGTGGGTGAACCAGTAACTTACCAGTAACTCCTTGCCATTATCAAAATCTGCACGTAATGATTCGCCAATCTCGCCATCTGGAACCTTCAAGTCTTCACGCAAATCGCCGCCGTCCGACATTAGGGTGAGGAAGTTGTCGTCACTTACGGCAATCAACTGGAAGTCTTCACGTTTAACATGGGGAACATCCATGTTATGAGTAGATGGGCAAATATCCTCATATCTGCAATGAAATAGTAATAAAATAAACGTGTGTTAATAATTGCAATCAGCATCTAAATTGAAAATGCAATATGTCGTGGAAACGTTTGTATGTATTGGTCAGAAACAGGTTCGCTCAACGCTTTTAATGTGGTTTCTTTCTTTAGAGGCTTCGTGATAATTTTGAGATAAGATTATCACGCCATATAGAACGCTTGAATTGTACATTAAACGTACATATTCCACATATACATCCGTACGACCGAGCAAGAGTGTGAAGATTAAAGCATATTGGGTAGACGCCTTTTTCTTTGATTTTTCACATAAAACATATGTACTTACTTCTTGTTGGAAAAAATATCAATTCCAACCATATGAACTTTAGCGTGTCCGTGCTTTCCGGTCTTGGATGTAGACATCTCGACGATTTTGCATGGCCGCGACTTCAACATAACAAATCCGTTTTTGCGTAGGGCCGAGCATTGCATCGGGTAAGTGGTCGATGCTCCGGAATCGGCGGTGTCGAAATGATCGTCTAAGTCTGCCATATCTGCCACGACACAAGAATGTATTGATTTAGTTAATTTATTTTTACCAGCGTCGCACAAGGGCACCGAAGTACATTCACACGCCACACATGTATGTATGTACATCCATTCATAAATTCTGCAAGTTCATTGGCATCTGTATGTACATATGCTCAAGCGTATGTAAATACATGTCTGCGTATGTATATTCCGAAATACATATGTACACACGCACTTGGTTTACAATTGGCTAATTACACTGCAATGTTTCATTATTTACTCTGCTACAATTGTTGAGACATAGCAGAATGCAAAGGCCCGATCATTTTTTGTACTCAAGACTCAAGATATGTACATGTGTACATTTCTGTGTATGTCTATGTGTACACACTTTCTTCCACATATAATTGCACATGAATGCAGTCATAGGTTAATTTTACTGCCGACTACATAGCGACATTTCGAGTGCAGGTTAGGGGCGTTTAAACACTTATCAAGTATGCCGAATGAATTTGCAAATTTTTAAGCCGCAAATTTGTGAAAATAGCACACCTACTTGTGAATCAAGCGACTGTTCCAACCGAAGATGTAAAACGAAAGAACCCTGCTATCGAATGAGACTCACGTTTTGTTTCCGGTCGATAATCAACAAAAGAGGAATCACTCTGAAAATGTGCGCAATGTGCGCATCCGATAGGTATTCGCTTATTTGGAACGGTGAAACTAAGACAGGGTGAGAAAATTGTACCTCGAATTGACGATAGTTTGTGAAAATATTAAACTCGGACCCATTTGTTATTGGACCCATATTAAAAACTAAAATAAAACTCACGTTTTAACTGTGCGAAATAATATCTCTGTAATTTTATATATTGACATGTATAAGTTAAGGCTTTGGTATAATCAGCTGTTTTCTTATTGTTGGTTAACTTTTTTAAAATAGACTTCAATTGGAAGGGACGGAATCATACTATCATTTTCTATAAAATTTATATTTTTTCCGCTGTGTTGGTGTGACTTTAGCTTCAATATTGGCTGCTTTAGCTTGATGTTGCCGCTGGATATGGTCATAATGGCTGATTCTGTGACCAACGAGGCTTTGTCTTCTATTATTCCGTCTGCACGTGACCTAAGTCCGTTACTCTTGGTAACTTTCGTTGTGTTGCGTGCGCGTTTGTGTGCGGGTGTGGGTGCATGTACGGTAGTTTCCATAATCTTGGACTTGCGAGTTGTTGGGGATGTTGAACGGCGCTTAAACTTACTGCTTTCACTTTCACTCTTAACATTTTTCGACGGCTCGCTTGCAATCGTGGTATTCAAGTGTTTGCGTCTTTCAAAGATCCTGTTTGTTTTCCTTTGCTTCGTTTTCAATGTACTCGTTTCCGTGGTGTTGCGTGGAACTGGAGTTGGTGTTTTTTTTGTTGATGGTACAACCCGGACTTTTCTAAATGTTCGCTTTAGATGGGTCCTTATAGTCGCGGGAATCACTGACGTTGAAGTTTCGTTTAATTTATTGTAATTCTCACTACTGGTTATTTCGGTCTTATTTGTTCGGTATTTCGGGGTTTCTTTTGTGGTTAAAATATTTTTGAAATTTAGTTTTAGCGATTTAAACTTTCTCAGCATTATTGAAGTCATGTTTTTTCGAGCTCTTTCCTTTTTTAGAATGGGTTTAGGTTTATCCGTTTTTAGAATAAGTTTAGGGTTATACGATTCCGTTGTTACAATGGGCTGGAAAGACGGCTTTTCTTTAATTGTTTGCGCTGTTGTCCAATTTTTGTAGTTTTCGAATAGTTGTGCGAATTCAGTTGTAGCGGTAGAAGTTATTGGCTTCCAACTGCTGCTATACTCGGCATTAAAGAAAGTCGTTGTTGTCTGTATCGGGATCGGGGCTTCTGTCGTAGTTGTCGCCCTCGTTGTGGTCTGAAAAACTTCAGTCGTGGTGGCCGGTGGCATTTCAGTTGTTATTATAATTGGACTCAGGCGATACTCATTGGTTTCTTTTGCCGAGTTGTCTGCGAACCTGTTCCCTGAACGCGGTAGAATAACATCATCAAGGGTAAAGTAGGTGTGCGTAATATAGTTCATGTATGGAAGAGTAGTTGTTGTCTGCGCTATTTCGTTGGGCACACTATTTAATCCATATTCCTCCCTTGGGTAGCGATTTAAAGTATTCTTGAAACAGTCATCTGATAGTCGTGCAGCAGTATTTGATATACGGTCTGAGCAAATGGACGACCAGCCTTCATTTGAATAGTTTGAAAAGATTCTCGTATTCTCGACACCTTTTAAAAATTCAGGGTTTGGCAACGTTGCCGCCGTCAGAGGTACAAAGGGGTTGACAGGTCCCAGGGCCAGACTGTAGTCCGTTGTGGTTGAGGGTGTTGTTGGAACGGTGTTTAAATTTCTGAAGACGCTTCTGGAAAACATAAATGATTAAAAATCTAAGAAATGTATTATACATCCATTGATAGGTACCTTTTGGAAGTGCCATATATATCATGATATGGTGTAGGAGAATGTATATATCTTGGCAGCATGTGGATATTACGCATAAAGTTTTTAAGTCTCATTTTTCCAACTAATATTGGAGTCCTGGCATTGTACCAATAGAATTTTCTCAAAGCATTGGGCTGCTGTCTATAAAACATGTAAGGTGGAGCTTCAACAGGCCACATCTAAAAATTCATTTTGATTTAAAGAAAAGTTTTCGTATACCAAATTTTTCATACCTGTCTACTCGGTCCAATGTAGGTTGAAGATGCATTTATATTAACTAGCACATATGCGATTCCTTATGGAATATAAACCATTTTACATTTTAAGTAAAAATAGTTGTTAGGTTCTTGGCATAACTTACCTATTGTCAGGTAAATGACAACAATATTGCCTTTCACTTTCCCCAACATATTGGTCAATACCTTTTAACTGCAGACTTCCAAAGACTACTTGCACTAACTAGCTGGCTCAGCATCTGAAGTACTTCCATTTTGCCATGTTAGTGCAATACGTATCGATGTGTATATGTATTTAAACAGCGTTTTAAAACAAACAACTAAAGTATAGTTCACCTGGTAATCATTAACTTTGAAGAAGTTGATTTTCCAGGCTCATTTATTTCATTTGTTTTACACTTTCCCATATGTATGATTCGGTGTAAATGATCTTCTGGTTGATGTTTGCAGATGCTGTCGGGGAATCTCTTATTTCTCAGCGTGTGGGCTATGGAGCATGAAAATACACGCTTGAGCAAGCTCATCTTCTCTTTGGTAATTGTTGCATCTCTGCATCATCCTTATACCCTTGCCTGAGGTACGTTAATTTAATAAATTAGGTGGTATGATTATTCACCACCTTTACCAGCAGGCATGGGCGTATTCAGGAAGCACACAAAGTGCATGTACAATGGAAGGACTAATTGCAGCAAGCACGGAATGTAGGCGGCAATTATATCATTCCGTTTTGATATTGATTTAGACAAACGGCAAAAGCAAAGGAATAATGGCAGGAAAATATTGCGGGGCTGCTATACGATTTCTACTAAGAAGATTTTCCAACAGAAGGTATTTTTAATTTCACATAAATACACATTCCATTAAATAATATCTAATTTCCATTTAATTAAAGATTCTTTTGGATATGTGTCATCATTCTGTCTCTTTGGAATATGGCCACGATTTTTATGCTTATGAAGAATCGATCTGATACAGATTCGACCAGCATTGGGGTAACAACGTCTTATATTAGTTGGATTAACACCTTTCCGGCCGTTAGCATATGCTTGTCGAAGAACAGAATTACAAAAGAGTTTTCGGAGACAGTGAAACGTAGCTCTGCTGACGGACATTCTCCTTCCTATACGTACATAAGAACTTTGTATGATTACCTCTTTATAAATCCGAATAACCTGTATTTGAAAGAAGAATATTGCAAGGACTTCAATTCGACTTGTGGAGTGGATATAGTAGCCATGAGAAAAGCAGTACGTTTCCCCATTTACAATTATATGTTACTCTACTCTTTGTATTACCATATTTCATAGTTGTTTGCCAGCTCGTGTACAGAATTTATGGAAAAAATTTACTTCTCTGAAAAACTTCTGCCCAACTGTGAGGAAATATTCAAGTTTCACGAACTAGAAATGGGATACTGCTTTCTAGCCAACAACTTAATTGATTAGTAAGTACAATGACAGAAAAGATCAATTACAAAATTACCCATTGAAATTGTTAAATAATTATAGTCAAAGTATCGATAAAATGCCATTGGTGTATTCCTCATTGGACGAATTCCGTAATCTGAGATTAGTTCTGCGAAATGGCCTCATATACCGATACGATGTATGTTATATTTAAATTATAAAAAGCATAAACATATATCTAAACAAATATTCTTTTTAAGCTATACATTCACAGCCCGGAAAACCAGCCGTACTTTAATGCTTTAGCCTATACGATTACATCGGATCCATCAGTGCACAGCTTCAATGTGGAAGGGATAGAGAACAACCATGATGTTATTGAGGAACCAGTCTCTCAGCGAATGTGCAAATTCGATACGGAGACCAGTGACAATGATGTGTTATACAGGTAAATTTATTTATTTGAATTCTTGTCTTGTATTAATCAAATATTTTCCCAGCTTTTCCACATGCATGTCCAAAATTCGAAGTGAAATTGAAATGAATCTCTGCAATTGCACTTTATTTAACCACAGTAAAAACAGTATGTGCACATAAAATCAGTGTTCCATTTTTATAGCTAACTTTTATTTCTAACTTAATGTAGATTCCATAAATTATTGCGGTGTCGAAGGAATTTCGTGCTTGGATAAAGGTAGTGGTAATTATTCTTCCATTTCTAGTGATTGCAGTGTAAAATTGTACAAAATTCTTTCAGGAAATCTAGCAGCAAGGGTAATTAGCCGTGTGAGCTCTAATATGGCATGTCTGCCATCCTGCATGGAGCAGCAGATAAGCTACGTTGGGTGAGTGAAAACCTTTGGTTTCAAACGGATTGCATTAACAAGAAGATATCTAAGGTCTCGCGAGAAAAATCATAACGACTACGGCGACTCAAACATGGTCGAAATCGAAATAACATCACCACCAACAGCCAAATATTTCCGAACAGTCACTCAAACAAAACTGGATTTAGTTGGTAGGTTTTCTTGGATTTAGCATTCTCAGCGAAATATTTATATAATACAATTTTGATTTCCAGTTGCCATTGGTAGTGTTATTGGCCTTTTCATTGGTGCATCCTTGCTGAACATTTTGGAAGTTATTTCAATTATTTTTTCTAAGATTAAGCACACTTTTACACGATAAACTATCCGTAGCGTGCTGCAAGGTGCTTGTAGCATTTATGATATTAAAACCTAAATGACATTAAATTGTCTTTGTGCTTAATTGTTATTTTCAAATAGATCTAAATGATAGTTTGCAATTTCATTTTCAATGAAAATATTCAAATCTCTCGAGTTTTCGGTTTTTACTTTATGGACAGACGTATTTACTTTATGATTTTTATAGCGTAATCCAACTCTGAAAGATAGAAACGAGTTATGGCGGATAGTTGATTTATATTGCATATAGCTCACATTCTAATGGATGGGATATCACTTGTGCTCCTCACATTATCAGAATTCCTTGCTCTCAAATAGCGATGCTTAATGTCGACACCACTGTTATCATCCTGTAGGAAATAAGATTTAAATTTTTACATATTTTTCTATAAATAATTTAAGGAAATTACAGCTTACATCTCTCATATTGTACGTGAGTACCAGGTTGTTGACAAAACTTTCAAGAAACTCAGGATACAGATCCAATACGTCCAGCAAATCATCTCTGTGTATCTTATGAATGTCACAATAGGTTAGCGCTCTAACGACACAATTTGATTTTCCAAGCGTTGGGTATACGCACGGGTTCTCGCCAAATATGTCATTTTTTCCTAAAGTTAATGGTGATCCAACGTTAACCAGGATTGCCTTAAATAATTATATTGTAATCTCTTACCCAAGACGACAATCATGTTGCTGTTTCTTTGAATTTCAATCGATCCTCTTGCTATGAAAAACAAAGAGGTAAGAACATCTCCTCTATGCACCAATATGTCTCCTGGTGGCGCATGAGTGGTTTTAAATTTAAGAGAGAAAGCTCTGCAAATACATAGTTAATAAATGTACATATATTCTACGATGAGTTTACCTTAAGCATCCTGGACTAGCGTTTGCAAAAGCTGGGCACGTGGTCAATAGCTTTCTATTCAAATGCAGACAAATATCTGCTTGGAGGCACTCCGGAAAGCCTTTCAGCAGAGAGTTCATGTCAATTCCATTGGTGTAGGTCCACGCATGCTGGAAATATTCCTCCAGTCTTTGTCTCAGTGGATTTGGAATCTAGAAAAATATAAAAATAAAACTAAATGGCTGTAGGTTGGTTTTAAAGTTGAATAATTACCTGGTGAAAGCGTATAAATTCCCGAACACGCAACATTTGTGTATGGTACCTTGCTGTTCCCGAGTAAAGTCTTTGTATTATAGCCGAAACGTTTCCAAAAATACTGGCATACATGAGAGCTACACAGATAGAAAAGAAAGTGCAGTGATTGTAAACATTTAAAATTGAAAGAAACATGTATTTACGTACATCCAACCAACATAACACATATGGTGAATGCTTTTTCGGCATCTGTGTTGGGCGCAACGTTTCCAAATCCAACAGACGTGAGTGAAGTAAATGTGAAATATAAAGCTGTAATATACCGTGACTAAGCCACGAAACCAAAACAGCGTTTATTTTACATTGTAAATGAATATTTTAGTACCTTTATTGAAGGTCCACCAGTTTTGTTCTCAAAATATGGCTCTTGAATATCAAATGATAGAGAATGGAGCCAGCCTATATTTTTTGTGGCCATTGATTTTTCTGCATTGCCAATTGCGTACCTGAAACGTACCGGTGGAGAGTGTATGAAACTTATGGCCTCTGGCCTGATCTTCTGAAAATGTCTCTCTATAAACGTACCATATGCAGGCCAACCAATGGGCAATCAAAATAAAAGTAGCCATTAGCAGAATAAGTACAGCAGCACCATATTCCGAATATCGATCAATTTTCCGCGCCACACGAACCAGCCTCAAGAGTCGAGCTGTCTTCAGGAGTCCGATTAGGGTAGTTGTCTGGCGAATGTTGAAACAAATAATTTTTATTAGTGGCAGTTCGTTGGTTAATACAGTTTTTACCCATAGGCGGGTTAAATATACCTCATCGCTTACCTCATCGGTATCGTCTCCAACCAATAGCAAGTCGAAAGGCACGGCTGCCACCAGATCAATTAGAAACCAACCGCTCAAATAATGAACGGCTATACGACCTGGATGGGATACCACTTCATCCTGTCCGTTCACAAAGGTAGTTCGAAAGTTAATAAGAATATCGACGATAAAAGTAACGTCCACTGCAACAATTCATTAAAATTAGTGAACAATAAGTAATTATAGGGGCTACCACGTACCAATTAAATCTATGATGACAATGGGATCCGAGTTGATATATTTGTTATTTCTTCTTTGGTAATCTTTTTCACCCAGCAGAAATGCAGCCACATAGGGCGTAAATATCGCTGTATACATAACCAGTATCAATATTATCCAATCCCAAACAGCTTTGAAAGGCGAGTAGTGCAAAAGAGTCCATTTATGGTATTTGTTGTTCTGCAGCTTCTGGTCATGTAAAATGTTTCCGCGCAAAGAAATTATCTAAAAAACAAATGAACTTTTAAAAGTTAATTTTATGTAATTAAAATGTATGTACATACCGTCTCAATGGGTTCTTGCATCTTCGGTTCACTCTTGGATCCAAGCAGAGCTTCCTTGTCCAGTACATCGTCGAAATGATCGACCAATCCGTTCTCCACAGTATTCTCAATCGGATTGTACTTGATATTCTTGAGCATGCATTCATAGGAGCTGTTGCTGCCCCTATGATTCCGATAGATATCATTATTATTTTTATACGAGCAAAACGATTCGCACTCCCTTTCCGAACTCTGATAACGGAAATATAGTTTCTTTTTATCACACTTGATACATTTTTTGATCTGTTTTTTAGGGAAGTGACTCTTTGATTGGGCGGACTTAACCTCACTTCGAGACGGTTCTAGATGAGGTTCACTTCTATTTGCCTTGACTCTCTTCAAACATTCTTTTTTGTTATTAATTTTTAACAACAAAGGCGAAAAGTAGCAGTCGGCTATGTTCCTTTCCCTGTGCTCGTATTTCCCTTGAGCACTTGATTTGAGCTTAAGATCGATGGAAACGCTACTGTCACTGGCCCGTAGAAACTTGTGATAGACGATTGTGCCGTGCTCCGCCACATTTTTCGGGAATCTGGATAAACTCTCACTTTTATCATCGAACATGCTGGCGTTTATCAATATATCTGAAACAAAAACTTGTTTCTTTTCAGTTTTGTTTAGGTTGCACATGAGGGAAAAGAGTTCTCTTTCAACGAATTTATTGGACTTGGTTACACAATTTCTTTGAAACTCTTTCAAAGGCGGCTTTTTAGCGGTGTCGTTGATATTGTTATTGGACATGTACTGCTCGCACTGTTGCACTATCTTATCCAACTTTCGTATTTCGCTTAATTCTACACAAGACTTGTGGGACATTTTAATATCTGTAAAATATTGAAAAGTAAGAGATTTAAATTTTGAGCTAGAATGCCAATTACCCACTCTCACACACACCCCACGAATACTTCTACATCTAAAAATATGCAATAAAATAGAAGCTAGGGCAGTCTACGAATCCGTTTCGTCCTCCGCCTCTTACCTCGATGCACTGCACTGTTTTTTTCATGCATAAGTAAATAAGGATTTTAACTTGCAATTTTTACACCTGTTTTGGGAGTTGCCAAAAAATAATAGATGAATGTACCCCAAAGACTTGTGTTATTACGAATGCAGTATGTCAATACACATACAAAAATAAAACGTGTTCTATATGATTTTTCTTAAAGAGCAAACATACCATGGTTTTTTGAATTCAAATTACTGTTACTTTTTAAGTAAATGTATTTTAGATGTCACCAAATTGTAAAATGTTCAACAATATTAGGCTTAAATCTCCTTATTTGGTCAGAGCTTGCACAAACAATTATTAAAGTTGTTGAACTTGTTTTTTTTTCAGTGCATGCAAAAAGGAGGCCAAATAACGGACATGCGCTTCGCATCTAATGTGTAAAATTACTGTATATAAGCCGTGGTATTTTATTGGCAGCACAACACTCGGCCACACTAAAATAAATGTAAACAATTGATTTTTCCTACGAAATCCACAAAAAGTTTGTGAAAAAGATGTCCGCTGCCAAGAAAATTGCCGAAGCGGAGGAGTTAGTTAGACAGGCAGAGAAGAGGTAAGTGACATGTTTTGTATGCATCAAACAGACAATATAATCAACAAACATTGCTGCATTGCAGCCTGAAAACATCGCTCCTAAAGTGGGTACCTGACTATGACAGTGCTGCTGATGAATACTCTAAAGCAGGTACGTGACTGCATATGCATTAATATATTATAAGCAGGTGGTATTTGGGGGTATATATGTATGCAAATGCATATCTATATAAACATCAATTAACGCAACAAAGCTATGTTTACGTGTTTCTAATGGGTTTGTAGATGTAGATGCATTAATGTATTTTTTTTGTATACATGTGTATCTTTAAATCAGAGGACTATTATAACTGAATGTGCAGTAACTGAATTGTTTGATTAAGTAGTACCCTTATAACTAATTATCATTCAATTATTTGCAGCCACTGCTTATCGAATAGGAAAAAATTTCGATAAAAGCAAGGAATGTCAGTTGAAGGCCATCGAATGTTACAAAAACAACAAATCTTGGTTCCATGCCGCTAAAGCATACGAGCAGGTGTGTAAAATGAGGCACCAGCTTTTGCCCAATATGCTGACGTTTGCAAATATTTTAGATTGTTCTACTATCAAAGGATACAGACAAACTATTGGAGATCGAAGAGTATGTTAATAAAGCTTGTAGCTTATATCAGCAGCATGGTTCGCCAGAAGCTGCCGCATCCGCTTTGGATAAAGCTGCCAAATTAACTGAGCAAAAGCATCCAGAGCTGGCTTTGCGATTCTACCAGCATGCTATAGAAGTAATAATGGTAAGTAAATTCTCTGATACATAAGTTATCTTTTTAACTAACTAATTCCTTTTTAGATTGAGGATTCCACCCGTCAGGCAACTGAATATTCATCCAAAGTGTCAAGAATACTAGTCAAACTTAGGAGGTAAATCCACTATACTTTCCATATAAGAATTATACTAAGCGTCTACCACTTATTTCAGATACGATGAAGCTACACAAGCAATTAAGAGAGAGATTGGGCTCAATCAGCAAACAGAGTCTTATGGTCAAATCGGACGCTTGGTTGTGGCTTTGGTGCTAGTGCAATTAGCTCGTGGTGATTCAGTTGAAGCAGAAAAGGCTTTCAGGGAATGGGGAACCTGCTGCGAGCCTGAAGAAGTGTCCACACTGCAAACACTTTTGAATGCATTTGATGAAGAAGATGCTGAAATGGCGGCCAGGATGTTGGCAACTCCATTCATCAGACACATGGATGTGGAGTACGCGATCTTAGCTAAGAACATTCCATTACCTGAAGGTATGCATCTGGAGAAGAAATCTGAAGATAATGCTGGCAATGTAAGTTAAATATAAACGAGTTAAAAGGGCGACAATCATCTTTTTTTACCGTTTTAGGCAACCAACGAAGACGAGGACGAAGGAATATGCTAATTTTGTTAAAGTTTTACAGCTCTCTTCCCTAGACAAACATATTTATCGTTAATCAGCAAGCTAATAACCCCTTTAAAATAATTGTTAAATAAAATAATCATCACAAGAAAGAGTGTTCAAATTTGTTGAAGCTTACCTGTCAATGTCTTTATGCAGGACTAGCCAAGCGGATAGACTTCCATTTTGAATGTTGTCATGTAGCACAAAGGCACTGTGGTTCCCGTGATGGTTGCTCCGGCTATCCGCGCTTCACGATCCATGAATTTAATGTTATGCTTTCTCTGCCCAAACAATAACAAGCAAACTGCTGTTCTGTTTGACGTTGCCAGATCGCCGTGCTGCCATTTCAATTGCAATTACTTAATGTCTGAGAATATTCCACACCACAAAACTGTGGGCAACTTAAAAGAAACTTTATAGGGTTGATTTGAGGTGCATTTCATTTAAAATATAAATATGTAAATAATGCATACATGCCATCAAATCTAGCATGTGCCGATTCCATCGTGGCATTCCCCAACTCACAAGAACGTTTCGGACTTGCCTGGCAACTCCGCATTTTTTAGTTTGCACCATATTTTGTACAGCCCGTTCTCAGATGCGCTAAATGTTTGGTCGAGGTAATCAGGAATGATATTCCTATGTAAACGATAAGAAATCATCCCTGTTTACTGTTCAACAGAAAATTTCGCAGCTTCTGAGCTTCAGTTTGAACCTTATTTTGTAGGCAATCCAATCAAAACACATCAGGAGAACCAGTCTTATTTATGGGAAATTGGATCTTTAATCTCATAAAATAAAAGTTTCTTGGTTGAGAGTCCTGACTAGTTGGTAATATTAGATGGAAGATCAAAATCGAGAAAAATAATTCACGACTCGATATATTTACGGTATATTTAAAAACCTACAAGGTTTATTTCGGTATATTTCCGAGGGTCTTATGGTATATTTTATCGGCCACTCCGCGGTCACACTATTCGTCCGGTTGTTCGTGAAGACGGAAGGTAAAACAGTATTTGTAAAATATAAATTTGAAATTTGTGAAAGTACTACAATAAAGCAACAATGGTATGTATTCGAACGATTAAATGATAAATAAAAATAAAAACAGACCAACCACATATATTTTTAATGTAAATGTGTGTGTATATATATGTATGGCAGAATAATGTATGCCTTGATGTACAAATCCATACATATTTGTATGTTTCGATGAATCATATAAGCAGCTCCTTTGAAATCTGTATATGCATTGGAAATGTGTATGTACATTTCTACAAGAGTGTGCGTGTATATAAGATAAGTACATATATCTGTATGAATGTACGTCTATTCAAACTTTTTGCATATATGTACGGCCAACGTTGGCTTTATTTGGCGATATATTCTCATCTGTATGTATACATCCATACACATATACATAAACCAAATTAGTCATTGGTAGGAACGGATATTACTCATTTATTAAAGTGCTTCCATGCTTTTCGCGATTCACTCAAATTGCCAAATGGCAATTGCTGAAATAAATCGAAGAAGAAAAGAATGGAAGTGGTGCATTTGTATGTACATCTGTACATTTTCGCTTCCAAATGGGCGGCGGAGGCGCGGCGTCTTCTGGGCCGAATCGAATCGGAAATAATTAAAAGAGAAAAATTGGAGAAAAATAGGCACGCGTATACACACACACTCACGTCCAAACGTACATACATCCACTTTTGGATGTGTATATATTTTTACACACAAATGTATGTATGGAGTGTGTGTATGTGTGTGGGCATATACCGCTTTTTTTTATTTCGATGGCTATAAATATGTACACATGTCTGTATGTATCTACACGTTCTCCCACGGACGAATGTATAAAAATATATAACTATACCGAAATATGTATAAATATATATCCATATATGTATCTGCGGCATACATATTTAAGGTGTGGAGAGCGATCATTTCCTTGCCGCCGTGTGTATGCTTGGGTACATGTTCGCTTGCATATGCATGATAGTGTGTGTGTGACGGCCACAGACGTTTGTATGTATGAAAAAAATGTACTGCCGATTGCCGAAAATTGCTGGAAAATGTGTGTAAATCTTTGGCTACTTAAGAAAAGAAAATTCTTCTGTCAAATAAATAACCATGTGCCATTTTTCGAACTCTTGCTAAATCCATAGCATTCGTTGTTTGCCCTTAGGTTTGCCGGTAGTTGTAAAATTACCCTTGAACTCTTGCCGGGTTGAAACTGTAAATGGTGCCACACCCTCTGTCATCCCTGTAAATTATCTACCCACATTTGTTGTATTTCACCATATTTGGATACATGTACATGTGTACAGATTTTATCAATGGTGGATAAATACGAATAAAATAACAAAAAGTTATTACTTTGCATACTTATTTGTTGTTATTGCCGGCAATGACGGCAGCATTTTCGCATAGTGGAAAAGAGACGGCAATACTGCTGGTTCAGTCACAGGGGGAGTTGTGTTGGCGGGCACACACATGCACAGGGGCACACATGTATTATGCATAGGTAGAAAGGTTTTCCCGCCTTTACAAACATTTAAAATTAAAATTTTAGTTGTTGCTTACTAACATATTGAATTTAAATTTTGTTTAAATTTGAACAGGCTTCTGGTGTAACTGTGTCCGATGTCTGCAAGACTACATACGAGGAAATCAAAAAGGACAAAAAGCATCGCTATGTCATTTTCTACATCCGTGACGAGAAGCAGATCGATGTGGAGACTGTGGCAGATCGCAACAGCGAATACGACCAGTTTCTAGAAGATATCCAGAAATGCGGTCCTGGCGAATGCCGGTAAGTTTTACTCTAAGCTCCAATAAATGCGCATGAATCCACATTTTAAAATCAAAGACAAAGTAAATGTGATTTCTCTCAAATAGAATTATTGTTTCGTAATAGTGTAAGGAACCTAACTGTTCCTTTAAGATTCTTACGTTTTTCTTCCATTATTTTATCTTTATTTTGTCTGTTCGTATCCACATCCGAAGACTTTAAAAGCGGACACACCGCACGAACCAAGCAGAACTACGATTGTAAATGTAGCCTTAATCTTTACAAACCCAAGAGCACTCTGCAGCCAATAATAACTGAATTATTTGTAATTTCCACAGATATGGATTGTTCGACTTTGAGTATATGCATCAATGCCAAGGCACCTCTGAGAGTTCAAAGAAGCAAAAGCTGTTCCTTATGTCATGGTGTCCCGATACTGCTAAGGTAAGAATATCCAAGGAACAACCATAAACAATCGCTTAATTCTTTGTTCTTTTGTTTAGGTTAAGAAGAAGATGTTGTATTCCAGCTCTTTCGATGCTCTCAAGAAATCGCTGGTGGGCGTACAAAAGTATATACAAGCCACTGATCTGTCCGAAGCCTCCCGGGAAGCTGTCGAGGAGAAGCTTCGCGCCACCGACCGCCAATAAATCGTATGGGAGAGAGCACTGTGCATTGCATTTAACGAACAAGCAAGGCATGCATAAAACAGCGATCGAAACACACACACGTATCCTGTTGAGATCGCCAATTTGTAAGAGAAATTTTCTACATAATTTGTATTTTCAGTAGAAATAAAGAAAATGAATGAAGATACAACTTAATATTTATTTGCTAGCCGCCGCCCCTGGAGGCTAAGCTCGATAAGGCTATCTTTACAATTACGCATCGTTCACCGATTAGAACCTATAACTAACCTACAACCACCTCCCCAATGGCCACTTAATAGCCATGTTGAATCACTAATGTCTGCAGCACCTTCCGTATGGGCGGGCAGGTGTTCAGTGACGACTTGAGCCCCAGGGAGAATGCAACCGATAAGATTTCAATGGCATGCTCCTGCAGCAGCACCGACATCTCGGGCAGATTATCAATCGCTGTCGCTGCCACCGACGAGTTCTCGTCCCGCAGGCACTGTATGTAAGCGTTCAGCGTGCACACATTGATGTCGGAGTTGCCTGGGTTGTGCTTCAGATGCCTAATCAGTATGATGAAGGCAATCGATCGGATCTGGGCACTCGGCGAGAATATCAGATTGAGCAGCCGCTCAAACAACTCGTTGATGAATACAAATCGCTTGGATGTAAGGCACTCCAGCTCCTGCATGGGCCCCAGCACCACATCCTCGGTGTTGGACTGCTTAATGATCTTGATGAGGTCAAGGAAATGCGGCGATATGTCCGTGTAGTTGGATCTGCTGTACGAGCTCAAAGTCAGAACCGACAAGGGTCCGCGCACGCCCACAACGTCTGCCGTGGGAACAGTGCTCGCGCTGCCCTCCATCGGCTCCACCTCGGCCACCACTGGCTTGCTGACCGACGGCTTCACCTCACAGTGCTCGTCCAGCTCGTACTCGGAGCGCACCTCTTCGTCGTCCAGCTCCGAAGTGAAGTTCGATTTGTGCTGCAGCAGCGCGACCGCCTGGACGAGCACCTGAAGCTTGCCCAGCGATGTGTACTTGGCGGCCAGTTCCATGAGGATGCCCACATACTGCTCGATGAACAGCAAGGCACTGGACGGGTTGTAGTTGATGTACGCCTGCAGCATTTGCACAAACTTGCTGAGCATCTGGAAGGCCTCCTTCACCGAGCTGTGGTGCTTGAAGAAGTTGAAGTAGCAGGAGAGCGTCGTCTGAATCTCGGTCTTGTACGAGTCCTCGAATATGGTCGGCTGCAGCAGCTCCAACGTTCTAAGGATCTGCACGAAACGATGAAAGTGATGCTCCTCGCGCAGCGCCTTCATGGTGATCTGTGCCCTGCCCTGCATTATGGAGGAGAGTACGCTCAGCTGGCGCAGAAAGAGCAGTGGATGGGATGCGGCCAGTTTGCGCAGCAGCAGCTCCGTGTCAGTCGATAGAGTTTCAAAGTCCTTCTTGCCCACCAGGCTGCCCAGACACGTGATCAAATTATTCGAGACATTATCGGCCTGACAGCCCTTCAGGGTCTGCAGCTTGTACGATCGTTCCTTGCCATCCTTGCTGGGCCGCAGGAACTTGATGCGCGGATACATGATGTACATCTGTTGCTGAACCTGCAGTTTCAGATAGTCAGACACCGAGCTTTCCTCCACATAGTCCATAACCTTGACCATCAGATCCCTTCGCTTCTCGGTCAGCTTGAACAGCAGCTGCATGCGGGAGCACAGCTTGAAGTCGTAGCCTCTGCTGTCCACCTTAATCTCCGACACACCCTCGTGCAGCATAAAGTGGGTGAATGGCTCCAGCTCAGAGTCTTTGAGCAGGAAAAAGGGATCGGGGCGTGCGTTCTTCGAGGAGGACTTCTCCCTGCCCTTCCACAGTTTCGGATTCGTGGTGAGTGCCTCGAAGTAGTTAAGTACCGTGCTGTAATCGTAATCTGCCCGGAACTCCCTGAACAGGAACTCTGCTATCCTCTCGATGGTGTCCCAGTTGGTCTGATGGTTTATCAGCGACAGCAAATAGAAGCGAAACTCGCTGCATGACTTGGAGAACAGAAACTTCTCCTTCAGCAGCTGGGTGGAAACTATTTCGGGATCAACTTCCGCCAGCCAATCGATGAACAGTCCATTGTGGAAGATCTGATCTCTGCTGCTGCTCGTGTTGCTCCCCTTTTTGGGCGCATCGAAGCTCCGAATGATGTCCCTGACAATCTTCTTTCTGGCCAACAAGGCATTGTTTCCCTTCAACTGCTGGAAGTAAATGTCCCGCGAGTTGCGCAGCATAAACACCAGACTGTCGTGATACAGCTCCGTGCTCTGCAGCAGACTCAGATCCAAGCTGAAATTGTGCTTGAATATCTTGAAGCTCTTCTGCAGACTCTTCTCCAGAATGCGGTAGCTGTCGCGGTGCAGCATGCAGCTGAAGAATGCCCGCAGCAGGGTGCTGGCATGTCGACTCATAATGATGGCACGCTCAAAATCCACGCAACGATCGGGCGGAAGCTTGGCCACCACTTCGGTTACAGCGACGAGCAGCTCGTTGCTGCTGCTGTTGGTGCTGCTCCTCTGTGGACTGACCACAATGTCCAGCAGATGATGGATCAAGGTGCGGCAATCGGTGCGTGAAATCCAATCCTGATCCGGCTGCGTGAGTACTCTCTGAACCAACTGTTTGGTTGAGTTGTTGCTGCTGCTGCTCGCATCTGTGGCATCATAGTCCCCAATCTCAATGTTCTCCTGAATAATCACACTAAGTCGAGGCAGATCGGGCACCGTCTGGGAGTGGGAGTGCAGATCGAGCGCTTGCACCGTGTAGTGTCCGTTCTTGGCACCGCGAGCCTGCTGAATCTCAATCAGTTGCGCCAAATAGGCCTTGTTGAGTATGGCATTCTTGACCAAATCGAACTGCTCGAGAACCGCCGTGTCCAGCATGGCCAGCAGCTTGGACATGGAGTTGACGGGCGTGCCAAAGTTCTGCACAAAGAGCACAATCTGATCGGGCGTCAGGTCGTGCAGTGCGGCCTCGATCAGTCGGTCCACCGAGGAGCGTATCATCTTCAGCTTCAGCCAGTCGGGCAGCAGCTGCACCTGCTCCTGCGGCATGCTGGGCAGAAAGGCAACGGGCGCGGGTCTGCCGGGCGGAAACCAATAGTCCAGTATCGGTATAGACTCTGGCATGTTGTTGTTCGAGTACGTGAGAAGTATTATAAAGGCGTGAATGATGTTTATGTGCAGCGGAAGCTGCACGCCATCATCGAACTGAACCATCAGCAGATCCGGGTACTCGGTCCACTCGTACGGCTCATGATACTCCCGCAGCTTGATGATGTAATTGTTGAACATCACAAAGAGACACTTGAGCGTCTGTATGCGCGTGTCATCCGGCGCATAGTCATAGTCCTCCTGGGATATAATGATGTGCTGAAACATTGTGCTGCGCTCCACAATCAGCTGCGCCATATCGATGACATGATCGAGCATTTCGTTCACGGGATCGCCCATCGTGTGGGCGGTAATGAACTGAATGTAGGCCATGATCAGCTCCGGGCAATTCTCCACCTGGCATGCAGCACGCAGCTGAGGGATTATAAACGGCTTCACCTCGAAGAAGTGCGGTATCTGCTGGATCGATTTAAGGAGCCATTCGTGCTCGTAGTCATCCGAGTGCCTGAAGATGATGTTGAGGCCAGAGAGCGCGGCCACACGCGACTGCTTCACGGTGGACGAGAGCCGCCTGAATATATAATCCAGCAGCTCGCACACAATCTGATGGTTAAGGCTGGCATCAAATGTCAAGTTGCGCAGGAAATTCACCAGTTCGGCATCCCGACTGTTCTCCTCGTTGATGTTGACCGCATTGAAGAGCAGAAACTCGCACAGGCACTGCACGGGCAGGTGACTAAAGTCTCCCTCGCTGTTCTGCACCAAATCCGAGAGCCACGGCATTGATTGGGTTGTGCCCTGCCGCTGTATGATGTCCAGCAGCAGGTCGGGCTTGCGACAACGGCAGAACAAATGGCCCAGCTTGTAGGTCTGATTGAGGAACTTCATTTGATCCAGCACCATGGAAGGCACCTTGCGCGGTGCACCCAGCGGCGCCATCAGCATAAGCTGTGTAATCAGAATCGCATTCTCCTCCGTGATGACTGCATTCGGGGATGTTTGTGCGGCCAAATAGGTTTCAAATTGCAGAATGTGATCACGTTCCACAGTCATGATCTGCAAAATATGAAGAAGAATGAATCAGAGATTGGAAATGCTTGCAATGAACGCCTTAACCTACCTGCAACTCATCCTTGCTGGCTGCTGTGTTCACAAACTGACTCGTGATGCATATCTCAATCAGCATTTTCATTGTGGGATAGTGATCCCAGCAGAAGGCACCGAATGTCGATGGATTGTGTGCGGATATCATGAGCAGAATCAGCCAAGTCTTCCAGTAGAACGCAATAATGGCCAGCTTTGGGGGCTCATAATCCGACGGCAGACGAATGTTCTCCGGATGATGGTACTCGGACATGTTGAACAGAAAGTCTATGATGTCAAATTTGTTGGCCTGCACGGCGGGTATGTTGCTGGTCTTCATGCCAGAGACCCGCTTGATGACCAGAAACAAAATGTCGAACGTGTTGGCTATTGAAAAGGGTATATCTTTGGTGATGCCAATCAAGATGATGCGCAGCAGCGTCTCCTCGTGGATGGGCGTCTCCGAGATGATCCTCAGTATGGCCACTCTCTCCGGCTCCGAGGGCCACTGATCGCAACGTGAATACTGCTCGGGCGTGTCTAACAGCAGCAGCTTGTGCAGCGCCTGATGGTACTCAATGCCCGTAATTTTGAACACATTCGGCACCGTCTCGTACATCCACGACACCGTGTCCAGCTGGATTTGTCCCATTTGGTTGTACAGCTTGAGCAGCGCTTGATTGTTTTTCACGTCGCGATTGTTCTTCAACGAGAGGCTCGCCTCACGCGCCTGCGGTGTGGCCGAAAGGAACATGCACAGGCAGACAATGTCCACCATGGAGTGGAATATCCGCTCCTTGAACTCAAACTGTTCGATTTGAGGCGTGAGAACCTCTCGTTCGCTTAGAAATGTTTTGCAGAACCTCACGAG